GGTTTTTCGAAGCTTTTTTTCACTTTGGAAACACCGATGCACGCAGTTTCTTCACCTCAGTCTCACTAGTTTCGATCTTGTCTTCCATTTTTCATCATAATCTGGATTACCCAAAATTATCGTGAACTGTGCCTTTAAACTCTTCACATCGTTTGTCAGGGAGCAGAATGAAGAACAGAAAGCGTCAAACATGATGAGAAGAGCACGAGCTTCAGCTCATCAGGAGCCCGGAAATTTTGACCATGCATCGGGCTTTGGACCCCAATTGACCCACACCGAGTCTGAAAGGATTAACCATACATCAACTCGAAAATAAATTCTTTGTTTCCATAGGCAACAGAGGGTTGGTCGCCATGGTTTATACTGTTTTTTCTACTGAATCGAACTACACAAAATTCTAGCAATTAGGCCCTACTGAGGAGCTTTTCTCGTTTCAAGATTGTAATGTTGTGTTGCTGATGATTTCCCGGAAAAAGCCAAATTCATGAGGAAAAATGGAGTTTACCCGCTCGAGAGCAAACCCTTGACAATAAAATGACAATAACACTAGAAGTATGAGCACCACGATCTTTGATACTGCATGACAAAGGCAAACCATGGTCTTGCTTAATTCTACAATGAATGTTGAAAGTATAAATCGCGTTTAGCGACGATATTCTTCTCTTATAAAGGGTAGATCCAAAGAGTTCATCGAGAAAATGAAAACGGTACAAGCAGGACTTGGTAGAACAAGCGAAATCAGACTCAGACAATCATTATTCCAAATTACACCAGAAAAATTCGCAGGAAAATGAAATTGCGAAGGAGCAGTGGAGTATGAATGTAATTATTGTTATTGTTTCACCATAGTATAGAATGAGCAATAAGAAGGTGGTAAGCGTGGCACAGATGAACGGTCGAATCGGTTCAGGGAGCAGGGTCTGCTACGGCCATTTAGACGATTATTTAATAATCAACCCCACTTCTCAATTCCTTCTATCTTCCTAAAGATAACAATGGGTAATACAGCGTATATCTGCCTACTGGGTCATTTCTTAGACCGATCTAGCCATTTGTCTGCGTCACTGCTCGATATGAAGAATAGCTTGTATCCATCATTTTCCAGATTGTCGTCTTCAATTGCTCCATTGATCGAATTCGTCCAAGCCGAAGTTTCGCTCTGCCTCGGTACGACACTTCGCTAGCGTTCGCCCAGACCACAATAGGCATCGTGGAGTCCTATGCGTTTGCCAACATGTCCGCCCGAAATCTCAGTATAACGGGCTGCACAGTTGGAAAGATTATGCGATTTGCGGCTGCAAGCAGTCGCTTCATTCACATGCGAATTGATGACACTCGCATCGAATCCATGGAAGAGGGCTTGTTCCAAAACTCGCATCTCAAAAGTCTCACCATCGAGACGTCAGCCATCGCTCAGGTGCTCCCGTTGACCTTCCAACGGTCTGCCATAAGCGAATTGAGAATCGTTCTGACGGACATTGGTAGCCTTGACAAGCACGCCCTCAGAGGAGCAAGACTTCATACTTTCATCTTGGACACAACAAATGTGCACAACGTGAGAGGAAAGCCTTTTCTCTTGGCTGAGGTAAGAGTTCGTTAGAATTTTCAGTAAATGAAGTGCGCAACATAAACTCCCGAGCCCACATAATACCTGACTGGTAGCTCATGGAGAGACGGTGCTACCCTCGAAAGGTTCCTGGATGGGAGCAGCAGATTCTACTGGAGACCTTACAGATGTCTAGAAAATAGATTGAGGGTTATCGCCGTGTGAAGCGATGGTTAGTGGTAATTAAAGATGCCCGTGCATTTTCCCGGTCGTCTAGCACCCCTGTTGCCCCTTCCCAAGCACCTATAGAGGTCGATGGACAGAAACTGTGGGCACCTATGACCGAGAATATATTGCAGCATAATTTCTGCACTATCCTTCCTCAAAAATATTCCTCATTGCTTATGAACGCCAATCCTTTACTGCACTTCACNACTCCGTGAACCCCCCCCCCCCCCCCTCCTCCCTATACAGACCCATTCAATAACGCCCATTACGAACTATTCAAATCCTATCAAATTCAGGAAAAGAGTTTTTCTGAAAACAAACGAGATTGCGATAGAAATCGGAAACACAGAAATGTTTTCAGATAAACGCTTTGCGGATCGTTAACTGCAGGCTGCGTGGTACTCCGGCCCGTGACGTTTTCTGGAGGCTTACCACAACTCGCCTTTCGGTGACCAACACAACCTTTGACTGTGATCCGGACGATTGCGAAGTGAACTCGATGCTTTTAAAGCCACCTCGTCACGAACTCTTGTGGACGTTTGAGGGGAATTCGTGTAGAACTCCACCGGCACCTGCCACCAACGGGAAAGCTCTTTGTACTCGTCCAAGTGTACTTCACCGATCAGGACTGACTTGTCGACGGAGTTGGGCCATAGCCGATTGTGTGTGCAGTGGGTCGTCATCCGCTTCTTTGCCAGATCTCAACGCTTCTATTGTGATCATCGGAGATTGTGAACATTTGACAGTGGAGAGCCTGAAGATCTCATCCCAGGCTCTTTACCTTTTTAGAATTGGTCGATGTGATTTTGTGAAAATACCGACGATGACGAAAGCTCTAAAAATCTACCACTCGAATGTTTTTATCCATGAAAGAGCGTTTCTCAACAATCACATTTCTGTGATGGCCCTTTCACATACAAACGTTCGCAAAGTCACTCTGAAGGCTTTTGTGAATGTCACAATCGACAATTTAATAGTTGGCAACTCTTCACTGGCTGCATGGCACCCAGATTCCGTTCAAAGGTCGAAAATTGGAAATGCAAGTATCGTTGATTGTAAAATAGGATCTATCCCTTCTCTTCTGCGTGCAGTTCGGCATTTGCTCATAAGCAACAGCGTACTCTCCAATACTGACGGCCTTTCCGCAATCGAAGACGTCCGCCTCAGTAACAATACGATACTTTGTTGCTGTGGTAGTGTAAATACTCCTTGTACAAAAGACAAAAGAATGAGACAGAAATGTGAGGATCATTTCGAGTATTTGAATTGTGATGTCGGCAGTTATGCGAATGACCGTGAATTAATGCCGTTTTTGTTGCTTATGTTGCTTATTGAATATATTTGTTGAATTTGAATAAACAGTATTTTCTATAAACATCTTTTTTTGGTTCGAGAAGCAAATGGAAATTTCTTGAATTCGGCTGAAATGAGATGACTGTCAAGCTCTGTTTTACTTAGTAGAGCGCAAGGTGAGCCAGAGAACTACGAGTGACAGGAGCCAGAGGCTTCCACTCAGAAAAGGTTGTTCACTTTCGGATTTGTTTGACACGGTAAACCCTATTCGGGTCTGAAAAAAACCAATATCCTCGATCTTTGAAAAGCTGGCTGAAATCTGAGTAATAATCTTCAATTATGCATGACTGGACGTTTAGAGTCAGCGATCAGATTACAAGGTCGTTCAGAGTTCAGATGACGTCCTCGACCCCTTCCTTGACACGCATATACCTTTGCAGGGCGACCAACCGCGTTTTTCTGAATTCAGATGGAATGAACATGACCTTGTAGAGCTGTAGTAACCCTATTGTAATTCTCAGATGACGGATCATCCACAGAAATGGTAGTGGCAAGAGATTCGAGGTTTTGACTAAAAACCTGAATGACTATAATTTGATTTTTAATTTCCCGAACTAATAGACTTTCCTTCCTCTTTTGGCTTCCTCTTCCTCTTGTCTTCTTTACCATGGCTCAAATTCGAGACGGGGCATGTTTTCAAAGAATGTTGACGCCAGTGTTGACGACCTATTAATGGATGTTCAAAAACGTCCTTGGACCGGTTTGCTTATCAGCCCAAAAGGAATTTTATCGATTTATCACCATGTTTTCTGGTTCGTTATCACCGCGTTGTTTACGAATGGATAGGGTGTGCCCCACTACATGGCTGGCACGTGAATGTTCGTGAGCGGTCTTATTTTTTGAGACTGTTGTTGACTGCAACCTAGAAAAACGGTGTAATTGGCTGCTCTTCAGATATGACCCTGGAAATGCCCATATTTTTCCAACTAACAATAAGACGATCCTGTGGCCCCCAGGTATGCCATATGGGGCACTGTCGGGTCAAAAACAGCCTAGATAGGGCACAATAGTGGCTCAAACACCGGGTTCGTTGACGTCCACAGCCAGGGCGGGCGAGTTTTAACGACGTTGTAGGAACGTGTTAGGACTCACTGGAAGTGGCATTCTCTACTATTTAAAGCAACCACTGAATACGTTCTGCGGGCTGTAGTCGCTCCTGCTGGTAAGGTGAATGGGCAACCTCCTTTTCTCTAAAGCAACAGAAGTCAACATCTAGAAAAACTGTTCTATACGGTAGGGTGGGTCTTCCAAAAAAGAAAATCAAAGTACTGAATGGGGGCCTAAGGAATAGATTCGAACAATTACTACTATGGGCTCAAATGTTGCTGAATGATCGGTGTATGTAGGTGGAAGTGCGAGAAGATAGAAGTACATACGCTGGCAGGCCACCGCAAGTCACTACATAGGCCATCTTTGAATATGCTTTCAGGATTCTGAATGAGAGTCGAATGAGGGGTTCATCCCACAAACGACAATGAGTGAAGCCAAAGACGTTATCCCGCTCACTGGGTAAATTGTAACCCCTCTCTCGCTTGTAGTCTCTCAGTGTAATGAAAAGCTGCTGAATACAAAACTGTCTTCAGTAAGCTTTCCAGTCAGAAACCAATACCGTACCCATGCTAGTCACGTGTCTAAGGCCATATAAGCGGCCTCAACTGCATGAGCTTCTTTCCAGCAAGCTACTAGATGTACAGAGTGCGTCAAAATTACTTGCTCGAAGTTGCAGAGTTTGACCTATTGATTTAATGCGACGATGATCTATCGATTAGCCGCGAACATGTAAGGCACTTCTTCCTTTATCAAGAACACAACCTTCGATCCTCAGCTCTTGCTCCTTTCAAAATGGTTGGACCTCATCCTCTCAGACTCGCGATTATTCAGTTACATCAGATGAATCGCTGTTCCAAAATCGTCGCAAAAACTCTATCAATCAGCAGAACTGGGGACTTCACCATCAATGATTCGAGGAGCTCGGTACTACAGATGACCACTAAGGAAGGACCACCAACTGCAACTTTCACGAGAAAAGTTAAAATTAGATATGGAGCGGCGCAATCCGGAGAGATCGATGAGAAAATTGCCAAAAAGCTGGGAATAAGTCATGGTTATACTCGCCGTATAGTTAAAGAGAAGCTAGGATTGACATCTTATCGATGCCGAAAGGTGCACCTTCTCACTGTATCTATGAAGAAAAACCGTGCACCAGAAGTGTAAGATGCTCCTCCAACGGCTCGCGTCAGCGCGCCACCGGACATTGTCTTCTCCGATGAAAGGCTGTTCACGTTGGAGTCGACCTTCAACCATCAAAACGATCGGGTGCTCTTCTCGACAGCTGAAGAAGCTAACGAGAGGTGAAAAATTCATGGACGCTCTGGACTTGCAGAAAAAATTATGGTTCGGGCAGCGATCACTTACGAAGCAAAGTCCCCGCTGGTTTTCATCGGTAACGATGTTAAAATCAATACGGAAGTCAACATGAGAGTGTGTTGAAAATATCTTGTTTACGTGGACAAAATACCACTTTGGTTCTAGACCGTTCGTGTTCCAACAGGATTCAGCACCGGCCTATAGAGCGAGGGTGTCCCAACAGTGATGCCGAAAAACCCTCCCAGGGTATGTCGATGCTCAGGAATGGCCATCTAATAGCCCTGATCTGAATCCAATGAATTATTCCGTATGGTCGCTACTGGAGAGCAAGGCCTGCTCTAAGCAACACCACCCAATTGATTCGCTTAAGAAGGACTTGCTCGGACCATTGAAGGAATACCTTTAAAGTACCTTCGCACCACAGTGGACGACTTCCCCGTAGGTATTAGAGCATATGTCCGAGCCCGTGGAGGGATTTTCGAGATTTGAATTGATCGTGTAATGGTTTAATATGGATAAAGTTTTGTAGAAAAATTATCCCTCAATCTATCGTTTACCCAACTTTACAGCTTCGGATATTTTAGCAAGTAATTTTGGCGCACCCTGTAGAGTGCTCAAAGTAAAAGGGATTTTCTGTAGAGAGATTAGCCGAATCTAATGGCAGATGATGAGGAGGTATCGGAAAGTTATTTGGCAAAAACCAAGAAGATCTCAAGGCCAGGCAATTTATGGTATGGCTGCGTATCATATGTGTTGAATAGTCGACGCGCAGTCGTAGGCCAATTACGGTAGGTCGAAAAGCTTGCCGTACTGCCTCTGCATCTTTATCCCTTTACTACTTTATTTAATTACTTTATTACGACGAATAAAGAAGCATTGCTTCGCGCTTACAAATCATATGTTCGTCCGTTGGTGAAATCTAGTTCTACTGTTTTCAATCCATCAAAAAGAAAGCATATATATGCTTTGGAGAAGGTTCAGAATAATCTTACACGTAAATTGCTAATTCGACTCAATGCTTTCCTCTATGACAAAATACCAGAAGCTGCAATGAGGAATAAGTATCTGGGAATATCAACTTTCCAATCCAGACGTAATATTTCTGACCTTTGTTTAGTTCACAAGATGATACACGGTCTATCTGGTTCTGGTTTATGTAACGTTTTCAAATTATGCCCTCGAGAAGAAGAGGAGGATCCAGCAAGATTTCTCTCAGCCAACCCAAAACAACTTTGCGGGCCAAAAGTTTCTCGTTCAGAACTGGGAGTCATTATTTGATGCTCTCAAAAAAGGTACCGTTGAACATATCTTTGGCTCAATTTAAACATCGGATGGCTAAAATGCTGTTAAGATATGACACAGAGTAAGAGCGTTTTTATGAGACAGACTACTGAACCATAAAACTTTCATTTACTACTGTAAGATTTTGACATTTGGCTTGACTATATGGAAATTGTATTAGTTTTCGGTGTTTTGTTGATGTACTTTTCACACTTGTGCCTTTTGCACACGTAATAAACCTATAACCTATAACCTACTACAACAATATGGATCTACTGCACTGTACCGTAGTCTACCCAACTTCGAACGTGCATAAAATATTGTCTCAGTCTGCAAACTATGGACACCATTTTTAGAAATTCATCATACATCGTGTGTGTCCTGATCAGTACGTGAAAATCAATTACTAAGACCTTGTGTTGCTCATTTTTGTGGTCATGATCAATGAGCCCAGCGGAAAGAACCGGTTTTGTACGACCTATTTGCCAGACGAAGCATTTATATAGAACTCAGAAACACGTAGCAAAGAGCTGCTGGATACAGTCTAGTACATACAACTGTTGAATCTGAACTGTGACAACAGTGAAGGCTTAAAAGTTGCCATTCGACTGTTCTGTACTACGATGTGAGATTGATCCTAGCAGATCGTAAAGAGTGATACAGGAGGAAAATGTTAGCCAAAATTTGTTTCTCTTGGAAAAGCTACAGAGAAACAACTAGAAGGATGGATGACAGACGGCACTATGAACGAACGCGATTAAAGAAATGCAAAAATTCTCAGAACAGAAGGGAACATGACACAAAATGTACAAATAGGTAAAGTCAAGGAGCCAATCAATGCGCGGAAGCTGCTTGCCTTTAAATGAAACGCTTCAGTAAATCCCCGTCATGATGGCATGCTGATTCTAAGTGGAATTACAAACTGCCGCTATTTTCAGTTCCGACGCGCCTTTTTACAGACTCCGAAGCAGTTCAATTCCCTAGGTAAGCTGGGTAGCAAACATCAAATAGCTAGACATGACGACAACTTGTTACGATAGTACACGAATTGGACAACACAAAACGATGGGTGCTTTAAAAATGGCGAAAAAGATTATAAAGAGAATATATGAGGCGGTAGCATATTGAGCTACAACTCCTGATGACCGTACCGGTCAATTGGCCACATACAGTCACAACCCAACGGCACATTCCGTAACGTATGCGGAGTCCAGTACGCAGAACCGAGAGGACGTCGTGAGACGTGGACCTGAAGTAAAAAGCTTTTCATACCGGTGCTGATCCAAACTTCATACTACAGTAATCGCCCAACTATTTATAAAACCAAGGGCCGAGGTGACGTAGTGCCAAGTGAGCGCCAGCACTTTCGTAGCCAGCTGATCAGACTCGACGTAGTGGCGACATAAGCCAGAAGATCAGACACGCAACCCAACCAAGCATACCGTCTCGCTCGGGTTCCAGTCAGGATCGCGTAATTGGTCCAGTCACATACTGGAGGTGGAAAACAGTAACTTGTACATTGGCTGACTGCCGCAATGCTGCAGAGGAAAATATAGGCCGAACAAGTGTTCTAACTGCCGCCACGATTCGAGTAGAGTAGACCGAAATGCATCCCGAAACGGCTTTCAGGGCCTTCTTCCAACTATCCACAAGGCACCAAATATCATCGATTATGTAATGTTATGGAGAGTTTCTAAGGTACATCCCACAGTGATAAGAGCTGGTCCTGTGGTTTCCCCCACAGTGAATTTGCAGGACCTAGAAGTAGACCACGAGACACTGTCGGGTCAAAAAACAAGCTGGACAGGGCGTGATAAGGGCTTCAAAACCATCTCGGCCACGCCTAAAAGTGGCCGAGTCTTATCAGTCTTGGAGTGGCAGCACAATTCACAATAGAGCACACATGTTGCGCATTTGACAGCTAGTCGTGACCAGTCGACAGTTAGAACACTTGTTTGGCCTATATTTTCCTATGCAGCGTTGTGGTAGTCAGCCAATGTACAAGTCACTGTTTTCATCCTCCAATATGGCGAAGAAAAGCTTTTTTTTGACTCCTTGGCTTACTGTACCAAACGCAAAACATATCTCGCATGTGGAAGCTTGTTTGAAAAGTACTTCCATGCCACTTCTACCGTCATCGATCTCATAGAATCCGATTTCAATTATTTTTCCGGAGCCTTCTTTATCGATTTTCACCAACTTTCACATTTTCTTTGTCAGTTTTGCACACAGTGATCGTGAACTGTGGCTCCAAATCAAACGGTCTTTATTGCCACGACAAGAGAGATTCAATAATCTATATAACACTTTCTTTTAACGATGAAATTCCTAACCACCACCAGGTTGACAAATGCCGGTTCCAAGAGTTTTAGAGGCGATAAATGAAGTGGTTACTTGTTTAATGACTTCGCTGCCTCTGAACTTTTTTGTTCCTTAACAAATGTTGCTGAAGGATCAGTGTATGTAGGTGGCAATGCACCGAATGGAGAACCTTTACCGGATTATACAGCACTAGAAGAAAGACTAGGCGTGCTTCTTGTCGAGTGAAACAGCTTTTCTCGGTCATAAGAAAGCGATCCTCATATTGTTATGGGGCGAAGTAATTTTGCAAAAGGGAATTTGGCAAAAAATTCCAATCCTACATATAGCATTGTCTCCACTCTCCCTATAAGCTGAAGATTGTGCTGTTTGTGGCAGTTTAAAAGAAAGAAAAAAGTGAAATAAAAACACCCATCTATCCTGCTCCCACTCCCTTCAGATAGCCGCTTTTGAGCTCTTTCATATAATTTGTTGGTGGTGGTACTCGGGCTCTGTGACAAGAAATTGTCAAACAAGTCAAAAGGAGCTTGAACTTTAGCTGCTCCCGGGAACACTTTGCTTTGAGATGGATTAGATTCGTCAATAAATGGATTATTTGCTTTATTGTGACTAAAGTCACTTCGGAACATTGAGCTTTCAGCTAGGTTTCAAAAACTATGTTTTCTACTCTGGAATGAAACACTTTTTGCAACTTTCACGCTGGTTAGGTTACCTTTACCCGACTAACAAATGTAACCCTAAAAGAATATATGAGACTGTTGGAAAAGTCTTTGCACATTTTCATTTCCGTGTTGTGAAATCTTTGAGGACTGCTTTGGAACATTCATTGCAGAACGTGTATAAGTGCAGGTCAACTCATTCTTCACACCATACATGCCGTTTCGCAACGGTCACAGCTGGAAGAATCGCTCTCGGCTCAAAGCAACTCAAACTGCCTTTCTTTCATATGTTCAGTGAGAATGTCAATCCAAATCGTGCGACAAGGGAAATATGTGATGCGATGAGAAAGTTCATTTCCTCTTACAGCACAACAAGAAATTGGTACCACAATTTCAAATGGCCACTCTGACTAAACCGAAACGGAACACGATGTGGTAGGCCAGATGAGCTGAATGGCTTGAAGAGTATTTCTGGCGTAGTACCCGCGCGAGCTAAAACAGGAGCTCAATAGCCATCACGACACAGTAGCTGCCCATTTGCATCCACTCGGAAAGACTTGGAGAGACGAAGCTTGGACAAGTCGTGAACTGGGTGGTTACCACCTCCAAATGAGTAAAGTCTGAACCTGTTGACTTTTCGACGCACATTCGCATGGCCTGAAGGCTTTATCGTGGATCACAGGAAGAAACGCCAGTGGCATAGACGCGTAGCACATGGAATTGCGACACGCAAACCTGACTCCAACCTAAGAAGGCAATGTTCAGCGCTTACAGGTATTCGAATCGCTAACTACTGAGAATTACGGCAGTCAAACTATACTATTGGCACCGAAGCCCAGTGTTCTCTGATAAACAGGGTTACTGCAGCTCTACGAGAGAAACATCGGAAAGTCTACTTTCTCTACGACAATGCTCGCCGACACATTGCGAAGGAGACACAACAGAAACTCCAAAGCCTGGGATAGTATATGCTGAACCACCCGATGTCTTCAGCAGACGTGGTCAATGCATTATCACCTGCTTCTGTCGCTATCAATCAAACCCCCAATTTCCCCCTCGCTACTTCGGGAATTCTAAGCAAGCGGGATCCAAAAGTTGTCCGATTAGTAGCAATACCTTGTCGAGGATGATGCTGCATTTATTTGCTAATCGACAGCTGTATTGAAGGAAAGAATTACCGGAAAAAAATTCGAAATGTGCAAAGATTTTTCCGACAACCTGATATCTCTGATAGCATTTTCTTCCTTGTTTTCTCTTGCAATCGTTTTCTCTTAAGAAGCGTGTGATGTCATCTATCTTCATTTCAGAAATGAAGTTTACTAACCGTGCAGAATGGTACTACATGACAAATTTAAAAATTACTGAAACAGCCATAGTCTAAAATCAACCTTTGCCCATTAGATATTTGATATTGGATTCTGTTCTCCTGACCAGAGAGAGGGATGCAGCGAAAAGCTACCTTACTTCTAAAACTGTGGTGTATTATGGCATTAACAAGATTACCTAAGTCACTCACTTGATTGCTAAATCTTGAACACAAAAGAAGTACTATATTGAATACGGGTATGTATTCAATATAGTACTTCTTTTGATTATTTACTAGGATAAACCAAAATTATTTACTAGGATAAGAAAACCTTGTCAATAAAATCGGATAACGGAAAAAGCAAATCCAAGGGTATTTATGCAATCCCAAATTCTCCGGTGTTCATCATTCCCGTATTTGAGACACGCACCCTCACGCGCTTCCTTTCAGATTCGTGTCAGGACGGCGCAGCGAGAACCGCATCGGCGGGGTCCCGTCAAAGAAGAAATGCCCCTGAAGATCAATACGCCGATGTGTCGAGAGTGATCAAATTACTGTAAGCGAATTGATGATCAGGAGGGAGGGAGTCGCAGGAGTAAATATGCTTGAGAAAAGAAGAAACGCGGGAAGAACTGTATAGAAGGGAACCCTCGAGAGGGAGGGGTCGTCAATAATTTTTTGTCACCCTCCGCCAACCCTCTACCCTCACGTAGTTTGTGGATTCCGTGCACTAGGACCCTCCAGCGTAGCACCCTTAGTGAATGCTGGTAGGACGAACCCCCGTAGTTCGTGAGATAGGTAGAATCACGATATTGAGGAAGGCCTAAGTGTTCTTTCGCGGCTGGACCTCCCGTGGTTCCCTCTGTGCACCCACTGGTCAATCGTTTTGTTATTATAGACCTTTTTGCTTCCCGACTGTTCTTTGTTTTATTGTTCGTGTTTTTTTCCATTGCAATAAACTTGTAAACTACCGTAATTCGTCGAACAGTCGTAACTGAAGCCACCCCTACTCGGTGTAGTATCAAAGAGCCTAAAGAGGGACCTTACAATCGTCGCATCGTTCTGAATGCGTATGTGGCCTGTACAATGAACTGCAGTGTTAGCTCGACCTTGGAGGGATGGAAAGCTTGGCTGTTCGGGGC